CTGCTGAACTGCTGCTGTCCCCCAAAAACATGCTTCAGTTTTACTTGTGACCAAACACAAAGAAATTATAAAAAAAACAGTTATAACACAATTCCACTGCAAATGCTGGAAGCAACAAAGACTCCAGAGAATGGCATCTGCCAGCACGCCCTCCAAATTGAACGGCTGTAGGAGGGAAGCAGCAGACAACTTCAAGCCAAGTAGAACAAGCCTAAAAGACAGCACTCCTCAGAGACATCTGACATAAACCACTTCACTGGCAAGTTTGCCGCTGTTTCTGCTAAAGGATATCTCTGCTTCAGTAGAAGCAGCTGAAAGCTGCTCTGGTGAAATTTCCACACGGTCTTTTCTCTTATCAGAGCGGCGCAGGATGATCACAGAATGGATATGAACAATTCGGCTGGTGTCAACCTAAAGACACAGAAAGAAAAATAGACCATTCCTCTGCTAAAGAAATAACCACCCTCAAGGAAAAGACCAGCTACTGTACCTTCAGTAGGGAACAGGTACGCATCAGAGTACAGTCAGGCATGCAGATGGGAAGTTTTCCTGACTGAGCTTTCACAGCAGCTGGAACCGGAGGCTCAGCAGCACAGCTCTGCCGGGGAAACGCCCGCCTACAAGCCTGTACGTTCTCTGCCGCGGTGAGCAAGCCCCACGTGGAAGGCAAGAGCCCGCAGACCGCTATCCCACGGGTCGCACCAGCGCAGGCCCATGAGCCCCACCCGGGCAGCACCTCCTCCCCACTGTGTCCCCCGCGCGCCGCCCGTCTCTCCTCGAAGCAGCGCCGCCCAGCCCCCGTACCTCGCCGATACAGAGCCCCATGACCTCCTCCTTCTCGGTGCTCAGTGCGTGGTTGAGGCACACCAGAAAGGCGTCGGCCTCCAGGTGCACCGCCTGCACCGCCATCTTGCCGCGACCCTCCCGTCCTCCCCCCCACCCCGGAAGTAGGCGGGGACAAACTCCCCTCCCGCCCGCACTCGGCAGCAGGGCCAATCACA